AAGGAGGAAGAAAATGACGAAGGACTGCGAGGGATACTATCACCCACTGATACAAGGGGTCAGATCTAATGAGAGTTTACCAAGGCCAGATGGACCGTGACTGAACGAGCATGTGATCCAACCAGATTCTCTGAATGTGGCCGGATTTTCTGAATGTGGCTGGCCTGCAGTCTTTCTGAGAAGCCATTGACAATGACACTGGGACTGGTTTCCTCTGCATATACTGGATTTTTGGGATCCAGTCTGTTTGGATGCTCACCTTCCTGGACCTGGAGTGAGGGGGGAGGAACTTGGACTTCCCACAGGGCAGGAGACCCTGACTTCCCTAGGGGACAAAGAGGGAGGAGGAGAGGGAGGGGGGGAGTGGGAGGGCGTTGGGAGGAGGGGCGTAAATGGAAACTTTTTATAATTTAATAAAATTACAAAAAAATAAAAAAAAAATAAAAAAAAAGATTACTAGTGTTATTTGTCTTTACCATGGGTCTCTGGAATATCTAGTGTCTCAAGCAGTATACCAGGCATGGTTCCATTACTGAACTGGTCCTTAGGTAAATCAGTTACCTATTTGCTACTTCCACTAGTTATGTAGCACTATTACCCTTGAATATTTTGTATGCAGGACAGATTGTTGGTCAAATTTTAGTGGTAGGGTTGGTGTTTGCATTTCTCTTTTGGTAGCATGAAGAGTACCTTTCTTTACTTAGTGTTTCTATTACTGCAACAAATCATTATAACCAAAAAGCATGTTCAGAAGGAAAGGGCTTCTTTGGCTCACACTTCTTCAATGGAAACCATTTGGACTTGAGTTTTGTGCATGGTGATTGATATGGATCTACTTTCATTCTTCTATAGGTTGACATCCAGTTATGTCAGCACCATTTGTTAAAGATGCTTTCCTTCTTCCATTGCATACCTTTAGCTCCCTTTTCGAAAATTAGGTGTTCATAGGTTTGTGGGTTAATATCCAGGTCTTCTATTCAATTCCATAGGTCGACTTCTCTGTTCTTATGCCAGCACCAAGCTGTTTTCAATACTGTAGCTGTGTAATAGAGTTTGAAGTCATCTATTTATTCTACAAATACTTATCTATGTTGCCAGCAATTTTTGCAAAGAAGATTCTTTGGACATCTGTCACATTTTAGAAATATTTCTTTCATTAGGCAGGTTCATTAATATAGACAAGGAGCTGCTCACATTATTGGATCTTGCTATACATCATCTCCTGAGCAATGAGTCTGCAGCAATTTACGCTCTTGAGGAGATATCAAGTGAGATTTTTATTCCACTATACTCTGCTGCCTTCAAGAATGCGCATAAGAATATAGTTTAGGCAATGGTGAAGGTTTGTCCCTTTACCTGTCTCCATATAGGAGCATTAAGCATGCAGGGACACCATTGTGAACTCCTGACAACCATGGTGACATGACTTCAGTTCCTACCTGTCCAAAACTCAAGTTCTAGGTAAAACTCTGTTTAATAGAGTCATATTAAGACACGAGATTATACCACAGCCTGTTTCTCTTTCAAGGGTAATATATGCACATAGTGATAAAGAATGTAGGACTGTTAGACCAAAACTTGAGGTCATTTTGAAATCAAGTGTCTTAAAATATTGAATATGCATTGCATGTGATTGAGCACACTGTTGAGAGATTTGTGTTACAGTGTTATTATTACATAGAAAAAAGACATGAGTGCAAAGACTTCTGAGGATTGGTGGCAAATAAAAAAAAACATGTACTGTTTAGAGATTTTTTTGTAGTTGTTAACTGCTGTCTCCTCAATGAATGGGCATAAGAAGACACTGACAGCAATGATAAAGACTTGACCCCTTTTGTCTCCACATTAGAAAATTAAACATATGAGAAACACAGGGAACTGAAAAGCATGATTGATGGTCTTCAGGTGTTATTGCCAAGAACTTAGCTTTTCAATAAGAATGTGTGTATTATGTAAATGGCAAGATAGTAAAACATTCTGGAACCTGTTGAAAAGAAGACCAGATAATCTTCCAAAGTTAGCTAAGAACTAATAAAGAATGCTGAAAATCAATGTGAGGTGATTTTAATTCAGTTGATGTTGTCTTAAAAACTCTGATTCTTACATAGGGTTTCAATTTTATGGTAGAGGTGAGTGAATCTACTGTTGATAAATATACCTAATGTAGAGGTTTCATGAAGACAGGAATAGCAAGTCGTTATGAACACTAGTTGATTACAGAAAATAGTAAAGGACATAATACTTGCATAGCAAAGTACTGTTGGTAGTTGCTGCATGGAATGACAAAAAGAAAAAGAAAAATGATTTTGTCACTACATGTTTTAATTGATCCTGCTTGGTTATAATAATATTTCTAGATCTTAGTGCTCAATGTTCTCTTTTCCCTACAGGAGCCTTAAACTGAGGATCCAAGATTTAAGGCAGGATTTTGGCTGTGAGATCAAATGCTTGTTATCCTGTGCTCACTTAGAGCACTCTATCTTGATGATGGGGGCCCAGCATAGTATTACAAGCTCAGAAACTGAGGTTCCAACCCTCTAATCAGGCTATGGAATTAATAGAGAATATTTCCCTAGTTAGTGGTATCATCTTAAGGGAACATGAATATTTGGCTTTACTTCTGAATAAAGTGGAAGAAAGGTTAGCTTCTTTGCTAACCTATGCTGCTGAGATTTGGAAATCAATAAAATGGGTGATAACAAAAACATTCTGAATTGTATAGATGGCAAATGTTTTGAACACCTGTCAATATTTCATGGTTCTTTGAGTGAAATCACCAACCTCCTGGCTTGGATGGTATACCTGATCACACTTTGTCTGTCTAAATCATTTATAGATATTTGAATGGGAAAATCTTTCAGAAATTTTTCTTGTGCCTTAGGAGTGTGAACTCTCTCAATTAACTCAATTAGCATTCTTCCATCCTGACAAAACATCTTGAAACTGTATGGAAGGACGTTTAAAAGAAATCCCACAGTAGCTCCGAACTGAGAAATAGATGGTTATTTATTTTGGGGTAGACTCACAAATAAGAATCCTCTGCTGGAAACGATATCAGAAACTGAATCCTGCAGTTGGAAAAGAGACTTGACACATGCTCTACATCAGCATAAATAGTATAAGAAGTCATGCCCCAGTGGGCAGGTAACCACTGGTTTAAGACTTCCTATAGCACCTCCCATTTTGTTTAAATAAGAGAGTTCTAAGCCTAATACAAATATATTCAATAAGAGCAAATATATTCAACAATTATCCTATCCTAACTAGTTTAAATCTTTTATAATAAATAACTTGGCCAAGTCATAAGAGGAAAGTAACTACAACTATCTAGTCTTCAACCCCATCAAAGGTCCAAGACAGAAATAATATTACTTGAGTAAGCAGGAAGTGCAATCAAGAGACTTCAAAAATGTGTAACAAATGACAGACACAACTAACTAACTGGGCAATCACCCAAAATATCATTTGCAATGTTGAAGCAACCAACTTTGGCTATGCCCTAGAATAACTGACAGATCATTTTCAGAGGCATGAAATTTTCAAAAACTTCTTAACCTGTCTTGGCAGGATTTGAAAGTCCTGCTTATCCATTTCTGGATACCATGTACCTTGTCAGTGGTTGAGGCATTGGCAGTTCTTTGCACAAAGGCCAGTTTTGCCAAGAAAAAAAAAAACAAGCTCCAAGTGAAGTGTCTTCAGTTCTCAACATTCTCTCAGGAATAGATCAGTGCTGCCAGAAGCAATTGTTTCTCACTTTAACAGAACCCTATGTTATTTAAATGCCATATTCTATAGCTCTTTGAAGTGGTTGAAGATTACCTATCTATATCGAATATAAACTCTATGTATCTAAAAACTTGATTAGTCTAACTATAAGTTTGACAAACATAGATGACTATTGATCTATAATTCTTGATACCTGTATAACTTAAAGGTTAATATTTCATATTAGAATATTATGCAATAAACAGGTGTGTAACAAGTGAGGACAATGACCTCAAAATGTTAACAATGTATAAGTATCTTGATCAGAGGTAGAAATGTACATTTCAGTATGATAAATATATATCAATATATAAAAACATTTTAAACAGAGATAGAAGCATGAACACATTCGATATTCAATATACTTTAACTTTGTATCAATATCCAAGAATATATACAAATGTAATTGCATATAAATAATAGCTCACAAGTATTCTTTCTATTATTCACTATTATTGTTATTGTAAGTAAGCTCACACTAATCTATTATGCAATCTAATTATCCCTTCTAGCCTCTGTTCCTCATTTGTCACATGTGATTCCAAAGTCTGAAGTTTTTCCTTTAAAGATAATGTCTCATCCTTGGACATTAATTGAATAGTGTGCAGATTGCCATCCTGGAGATGTACTTTATCTGCTAACTTATCATAAACTTTTAACAAATTTTGATTGTCAAATTCAACAGTATGAATTCTTTCTGATGTCTTCATAGTACCCTTACATATGGATTCAATTTTTTTCTGTCAAATTAATGCTATCATTTTAATAGTATTAATTTTTTCAGGTTACCTTTTATTTTTGATGGTATTAATTCTGTCAACTAGCTCTTTATTATTAACCTGTAAAGACTGTATCATTTCTAAAAGTGCCATATTCTTCATTAATGATATAATATGAAGGAAAAAATTGAGTCTCAATACCCAATAAATTGAAATATCACCATAAATATGTAAGTCTCACATAATAAAATCCTTAGAATTAGTAAAAAAAAGTTTCTAAAATTTTAATATTAATGTAATCTGCCATATTGATTTATTAATTATCTGCTATGAGATCCAGCAAATTGTTTTAGGTGTAATAATTTTTATTATCTGGCATATGTCGTGGTTAAAGATTTGCGGTGATGATAGGAACAGTTTTGAACCTTTTTAGTTTCCTAACCAATTTAGTTTCCTGCCTTGGTACTGGTTACATACTGAGAAATATGTTTTTCTTGACAATTTGAAAGCAATTAAATAAATTCCATACACAGAGCAAGAAACCCAGAACTCACAGGCAGGGAGCAGAAACCGGAAGGCGCACAAGTCGCTACATGGCAAAGAATCAATTTGAAAGCAATTAAATAAATTCCATACACAGAGCAAGAAACCCAGAACTCACAGGCAGGGAGCAGAAACCGGAAGGCGCACAAGTTGCTACATGGCAAAGAATCATCCCAGGAAACCTCTCCAGGGAATGCAGCAGTCATGTGTGTGTTTGGGAAATTTCCAAGTTGCCACATGCAGTAAGCTCCACTGTGTTGGGGGTTCTACGGCAGGGTTGAGAGACTGTCTGGGCCGTGGATCAGCTAGGACATTAGGCTGTCCACATGTTAGGCTTGGAGTCTGAATCCACATGGGCACCAGATGTGGAAGGATGCTTAAAAGAAATCCCACACTAGCTCAGAATTGAGAAATAGACATTTATTTAGGGGTAGACTCACAAATCAGAATCCTCTACTCAAATGAAGATCAGAAACCAAATCCCGTAGGCGGAAACAAGGCTGGATGCATGCTCTACATAGGCATAAATAGTATAAAGGGCCATGCACCAATGGACGGGTAATCACTTGCTGTAAGACTTCCTACAGAAAAATTGTTCTGAGGTAAGGGCATGGGATAGATACTATGTTTCCAATAGTAGCCTGTTTTTAAGATGAGAGAAATAATTCTTAGGCTTTACCTACTCATAAACCTTTCTCCTTCCTCAGTATGGGCAATTCTGGGAGCTTAAAAACAGACATGGACACCGTCTGTCTGTCTGCTCTGTGCTGCAGGGCCTCCTCAAGAAGCGCCTCTTGCCAGCTGAGCACTGCATCACCAAGATAAAGCGGAACTTCAGTAGCGGCACCATCCCTGGCACCCCTGGGCCCAATGGAGAGGATGGGGTGGAGCAGACGGCTATCAAGGTGTCCCTGAAGTGCCCCATCACCTTCCGCAGGATCCAGCTCCCAGCCCGTGGTCACGACTGTCGCCACATACAGTGCTTTGACCTGGAGTCATACTTGCAGCTCAACTGTGAGCGGGGGACCTGGAGGTGCCCTGTGTGCAATAAGACGGCATTGCTGGAGGGTCTGGAGGTGGACCAGTACATGCTGGGTATCCTGATTTACATTCAGAATTCAGACTATGAGGAGATCACCATCGACCCCACGTGCAGCTGGAAGCCAGTCCCTGTGAAGCCTGACCTGCACATCAAGGAGGAGCCAGATGGGCCAGTGCTGAAACGCTGCTGCACTGTGAGCCCCGCCCATGTGCTCATGCCCAGTGTGATGGAGATGATCGCAGCTCTGGGCCCGGGCGCTGCCCCCTTTGCCCCTTTGCAGCCCCCTTCGGCCCCTGCCCCCAGCGACTACCCCAGCCAGGGTTCCAACTTCCTGGGGCCTGGAACCTTCCCAGAATCCTTTCCATCTGCTACACCCACCACCCCAAACCTTGCTGAATTCACTCAGGGGCCACCTCCCATGTCCTACCAATCTGACATTCCTGGCAGCCTCCTGACTGCAGACAAGTCTGCTCCTTGCCTCCCAGACCAGATGGCACCAGCAGGCCACCTGGACCCAGACCATAATCCTGGACCACCAGGATTGCACACCCCCAACCTCGGGCCCACCCCAGGCTCCCAACTACACCATCCAAATCCTCCCCCTCCATCCCGACAGTCCCTGGGTCAACCAAATACAGGGCCCATCAGCGAACTGGCCTTCAATCCTGCCATGGGCATGATGGGACCTCCCAGCATGACTGGGGCAGGGGAGGCCCCAGAACCAGCTCTGGATCTGCTCCCAGAACTGACCAATCCTGACGAACTGCTCTCCTACCTGGGTCCACCTGACCTCCCCACAAACAGCAGCGATGACCTGCTCTCACTCTTTGAGAACTGATCGTGTGTTAACCCCTGGCCTGGCAAGGCCACACTTACAGATTCACCACAGCCTTCCCTTCTCACCCAACCCCGCAGGATGCCTGGTGGTTCTCCCTGAATCCCTCATGCACACACCCTGAGCTGGGACCAGCCCCTGATGAACTGGAAGCAGCCCTGTGCTCCAAGGGGCCCCAGGCCAGTGGTCCTCACACCCACCCTCTATCAAGCTCACTGCTACAGAATGGGTCTTGCGAGGTGCCCTGCAGGCCCCATCAGCTGCGTGTGCACACAACCCTACACCCCAGACTCATGGCCTTGCACTTGTCCTTCCGCCCTGCCTGCTCCCACCCGGCCTGCATCTTGTCCAGCACTGACCCTCTGTTTCTGCTTCTCCTCAGAAGAGCTGGCTGGCAAGGCTGGCTCCATACTCTTGGTCTGCAGCTCCAGTGGCTTGAGCCTGGCAGGCTCAGAACGATACAGAGCACCAGCCTGTGGGGGCCTGGTGCTCTCACCCAGCTGAATGTGGTCCGGGGGTTCCCCCCTCCACCCTGAGCTTCAGGCAGAGGCTGGGGTGGGGGCAATAAAGCACAACAATGTACATAGTGTAGAAATGCCAACAGCTGGGAAAGGGAGGGACAGCTGTGTAAGCCAGCATGTTCCTCTGTGGACTGGCCTGGGCCTTCCATGTGGTGTCTGCCCCTTACTGAATGCAGGCAGCTCAGGGGGAGCTCGGAGGTTCAGCTCCTTTAGGGTTGGGCTTTCAGACTCAGCTCTGTGTAAATTCTCCAGTGAGCTGCTCCCCCAAGTTCCTCTTTTCTGTGAAAGTGAAGAATTAGTACAGCTGTGTTTTTTAAACCACCTCATCTCCACCCTGTGGCCCACACCCAGGTGGGGGAGGCCATTGCATCTGCTGGCAAAGCGCCTGGGCCTGCAAGCAGGGCGCTGGCCTGTTGTGTCTCTTGTCTGTGCGATCTATTAAAGGACTCCCTCATGGGGAAACAAAAACAAAAACAAAAAAACAGACATGGAATGAAATCTTTCTGTAATTGAATAGAAAAATGGGCTTGCAAAAAGTGTAATCAGATGAACATGCATAGGCACAGCGTTCATTACAGAAACATGAAGACCAAAAGAAAAATGCAGCCCTCCACTGTCCATCGAGAGGTAAAGAGGGGGAACTGAAAGACTTTATGTTCTGGCCCAGGTGCACATATTCATACACCTGTAGATGGTAATGTCACATCATGAGGAAAATCTCTAAGGTTCAGGCCATGTCTGGAGAGGCTGTTATTTATGGACAGGCTAAAAGGAGCTTCCAGTTGGTTGCTCCTTCTGTTCCTCCTCTTCAGAACAAGTAAAATAGCTCCCCCTTGGTTATGCTGTATTTCCTAATTTAATAGCATTTTCACTAAGTTTTTAATACTACTTTATAATAATATGTTATACATATTGACAAGGTTAAAATATTACTTCTTACAGTGGTAAAGTATCTCTCACAGGCCCACAAGACTATTAAGTGTGTAAAAGCTCAAATAATTTACTGTTGGTATGCAAAACAGTTTGTTCTAGATTCACAGATATAGTTCCCCTCTTCTGGTCCTCATTTTTCAGAAATCCTTTTCTGCTTTCTCTCCGCAGAATCCTACCAACCAGTTTGGATTTCTTACATCTGACATTCTGTGAGCTTTCTTAAAATGATTTTAAGCTGCTTCCTGAGTTCCTTCATGCCAACCATTTAAAAATGCTGAATATCAGCAACAATTCAATGTACTAGGAAAAGTGTGAACCTCTTGCATAGTATCTCTGGCACCTTGCAACATCTGGCAGTTAATCACTGCCTTTTAACACAGTCTATAGTTTCTGGTCTCATCTGAGCACTAAGTTGCTGTTCCCAACTCTGAATGTTCAATATTTCTTTAAATCCAGTTATTATGCCCATGCTCATGATGCTCCTTGAGCATTTAACACCCTTGATGGGCTTAAATGCATGATTTATCCTGTCTCTGTGCATTGCTATGCAAGATGGAACTTGCAAGGCAATGTAGATAGGTAGAAACTGGCAGTTGTGCAGGCATGATTGAAATGAATACTGCGAGATGCAACAAGAAATGACATGACTTGGATTACTTAACCTGGATGAATTTGTGATTCAGCTCAGTTTTGTCTGGATACAATACCTTTCATTATTAAATGTTTTAAAATAAATTATTATCCGATACAGTTTAATCTTCACACATTTTCTTTAAGTATTGATTATATTTTTTCTTTATCCCATATAGACTGGATATGTAAGGTTTTTATGTTGTATCAAAATACAGTTAAAAATATAGGTATGTAACGAATTTCTATAGTAAATATCTTGCAAGCAGATGGAGACTTCCAGAGAGTCTGTGTGTCTCTTGACAATTGTTCTTGATAATGCTTCATCTTATTTACTAAAGTTTTAGGTAGATGATGTGGAAAGACTACATCATGAAATCTTCACTAAGATGTACTTGTGGGTACTTGAGAGCAGTCACAACACTCTAACATTTCCTGGATATGATTTTGGAGGACAGGTAATTATTGAAGCCAATGCTTTTATCCACTAAATTGTATTAAACTTCTCTATTTAAGGCTGCTTTCTTTATCTTGCTGGATACTATCTGGATTTAGCAGTGAGAAAATGAATCTACACACATTACACATGGAGTGGCTCAGTTTTTCTTTACTTCATACTCATTTACCAAAGGTTGGACTGGGATATTATTTTAGTCAGCAAAAATGAACAGACAACACAAGGTTCCTGCCACTCATTGGCCTAATATTTCTGTGGCTTATCTGTTTCTCCACAGTGTATTAGTGCACAGAAAGAAGTTGTTTACCCTCTTGAACCACACTTTGTTTTCCATGTTCTTGGTACATGTTCTGTTCAAGGCAAGGTGATGTTCACTCTCTTCTCAGCAGAATTCAAGGTTTCCATGTTACCATCTTGGAGGCTTTTTTTTCACATTTTTTTGACATCTGCCTTCTGTCATTGTGCAAAATGCCTGACATAATAGACTATAGTAATGAAGAGAAGTTTGTTTCTTAGCTTTAGACGTTTCACCATGCTTGTTTAATTGCACTGCTTTGGAACTTCAGCAAGGCAGAATATGGTAAAGAGCTTCTGGCTGGGAAGATTCTTTTAATTCATGAAGCATAGAACCAGAGAGAGAAGGAGCCTGAGTCCCTATACAATGTTCAGGAGTGGGGCTATACTGACCTGTATGATTGAATTAGCCTTCCCTATAGTTTCTGCCACCTGACCTGGAGCCATTCTTGAGTTAGCCTATTCAAAATTTCAACCACCTGCCACAAACCACCAGCTTGAGACTACCTTTTATTGTATTAGCTTAGAAAGACATTTAGGACGTGTGCATAACTCTTTCTTCATGATATACATGATTCTGAATGAATCTTTTGTATTTTTATACTTCTTTTGTATTAAATTTGCCACAATTGCTATAATATTGTATAGCAAAAAATACAGGGAGTCTTTCATATTTGATACTTAAATGTGATTATCAAACAGAGAAAGGCTTATTTCTTCAAGATATTTAACAAAGAAGCATATAAAACCATCTAATTATATTTAGGTTCTTCATGTATTGAAGTGGAAATACACTGCATTGGAAGGACATAGCAAAAGTTTATATAATTTAGTTTGCTCCTGTCACATGCTGAAATGTCAACACCACTGTGTTTTCATTAATTACTAAGGAAAAGAAACAAAAATAACTGCTATGGACCGGCTCAGGGGAGCCACTCAGACTGTAAGGGAATCAGGGTGCAGGCACAGGAGAAATCAGGATACGGCAAGGAAAGTGACACACAGACACTCTCAATGTTGAGACATGCTGTTGCGATTTACTTACTTCAGTGCAGGATTATATATTTCTTTTTTACAATCAATGAACTTGGCAAAGGCATACATCATCAAATCATAAAACAGAAAAGAACAGCATAAAACAGTTTACAAAAAGAATCTTTGAAGATGCTTTGACTTGGGCACAAGGACTTCTGCTCTCTCACACTTTACAAAACAAACTCTCTCCTCTTGCCTTCAAAGAGAACACTACCCTTGAGCTAGACCATCTTTATCAGCTTTCAGGTGACTGGTTGGTTTGAGCTAAGTGACCTTGTGTGCCTGGATGAGAAAGAAAAAGGCTACTATCTCCCTGGGAAAGCTTTCTGCTAGGAAATTTCTAATACATAGTCTTGAATCTCTCTGAAGTTTACTTTATATTACTTACTTCAACTCTCCTCCCTTCTCAATTCTCAGGCTCAGATATTGTCAGCTTAGGTTAGGTCTTTTTCTTCCCACAAGAAAGGTTTCATAGGCCTTCTGTTTACAACTGTACATATTTCTCAGGCAAATGCCTAAAGCTTCTAAGGTTTTTCCTAGTAAAATTAACTCCTTTTGTTCCACATCATCAAGGAATTGTCCTAATGATGATTCTGGCAATTCCCAGAACTGGCTACTTTTTTAAGGCTTTAATTAATAGTGAAGCAGAATTCAAAAATGTCCTTAGCAGTCTTGTTTGTATCCGCAACTGCCTGGAATAGTCTGATCTGTTAGCAATATGCAAGAATCACAAAGAACACACAAACAAGGGAAAAGACAGACATATGGCTCCAAGGACAGCCAGGTCGAGTCAGTACTAATGGCGACTCAGGTAGCATTACACCACAACTGATTGCCAAGGAATCGCCAGGAACACACAGCTCTGAGAAGCACGAATCCCAATCCTTCCGACAATATTTGCCCATCCAGTCAGCATTTCTGCTACACTGGCGAGACAGCCGTGGATGTAGCAAATAACCATTTATGTAAGTTTTGAAATAATCCTAACAGTAGTTTAAAGATCTAGCTAAGAAAAACCAAAAATGATTATGTTTCTATATTACTTCAAACTTTAAATGATAATATAAAGGATTTCAGATCAGCAACCAAAATTATTGTTACAAGTTGCAGAATTTTGTTCATAGTTCCCACATATTATGATGATATTGAATGTTATTTTTGAGACATAAAATATGAAAATGCATCTACAAAACTAAAGTTTGTATGATTACATTTATATGATAAAAGATTGCCAATGTGAAGGAAATATCAGTAAAAACTACACGCACTTTTTGGGTATGTTATTTATTTTTTGAACTCCAATATATGTTATTTAATAAATAACATTGTTAAGAACCATATCATCGTTCAGAAAGATCAGTAATAAGATGTGGTGACCTCTTCTGGTCTGCAAGCAGACATATGTGCAGAAGACTAATAGCTTTGTTCCCCCCAAAAAGGACTTTAAATTTGGTGAATCTTTAGGACAGAAGGCGAAGGTAGCAAAAAAGCTGCATTTCTCCAAATGCATTGACAAGTTCTCATGAAATTTCAGGGCCATTCACTTTTTTTGCAGTTTTCCAAGCCATGGTTTCTTTTGTGTAGCTCTGACTGGCCATACTGGAACTCATTCATTCTGTAGACCAGGTTGTCCTCCAATTCAGAGATACTTCTTCCTAAGTCTCTCAACTGCTGGGATGAAAGACACACACCAAAGGACATTCACATTTTTG